GTCATTGTTGTTTGGCGGGTCCGGGCTGGGGATTCAAACCTGCCACCTTAGGTGTACGTGGCTGGCGCCTTAGCCGGTTGAGCTATAGGCGCCGAGCCAGGAGCTCAATCTCTTAACTGTTGTCTTGTGCTGGTCGCATTGGGGAGCTGGCTGAAGAATATAGTTCCTTTATAGGAGGTTAACCAGGCCAGTGACGTGGCTGCAACCTCTACATCTCTTCACATTGTTCACACGGGGTTTATAATCTGTGATAAATTTATACACACACAGGTCATTACAAAAAATTTGAGATACACACACACACAAATCAAGAAACATAAAATCCAAGTGTACAGAAACAAATGAAACCCTCCCAGCAACACCAATAAGCCAACCAAGTTGAAACTTGCATGAGTGAATCAGAAAGGATGCTGTCACCTGTGTTTCTTGGAAGTGAAATAATGGACCATAGCACAGTCTGTCTCAAAACTTTCCTAGTTACCTATGTATTTTTTTAAGCTATAGCATCTCCAGGGCAAGAAGTTCCATATATATATTTCTTTTCCACCAAGGACAGAGACAGGGGCAGGAACTTCTAATAGTGAACAATTAAATTCAATGAATAATTAAACTGTCTTCATTCAAAAGTGTCATCACTTCAGTGTAAGACCAGTCACTCCCATGGAGAGTCCCAGTCACTCACAATTAAGATCAGCCTAAATCTACCCTCCCATGAAAAATCCTCATCACTACAGGCTATTTCTAGAACAACTTTACTCACAATATGCAATGACCTGGCTTCCTCATCCACATACCAAAAAGCAAGACTTTCTAGAAGGAGCACAACCAGAAATTCTCACCGTGCACTTACTAATAGGAGTCTACCCAATCACCAGGTAAAGTCAAGTTTAGATGACCAAGAGTACCCATGGGGAAACAAGGAAGCTGTAATAAATAGGACAGCCTGAGAGGCCAGTGCTGTCTGTGTAGGGCTAGGACAGTCCCACATCTGGCCTTAGCAGCTGCAACAGATACCTACAGGGTTTCCCTATCTGCCCTGCATACACTCTTTTTGGGAACTGCTTCTTTCCAACTCTAAGGAGTCTCATTTCCTGTGTTTCAGGTGATCCAAATTAAGACTCCTACCATGGACTCAATGAACTCAGAGAACAGCAGAGGGCTAGACTCCTTTTTTAGGGCCTGTCAGGGACACGAGGAGATCACCAGGGATGAGGACCACGCACACCTACAATTGGAGGGCCATCTTTTCCACTTGGTCAGCATCAGGCCAACAAAAGAAAGCAAGCCTAGAGGGGGCAAAAGTGACAGACTTTAGCCACACCACCTGAGAGCACCCTGATTCTCATGAGCTCAGCCTCATACAAGAACAACCTGCCTCAACATTTTATGCCCTTCAACCAACAATGTCCCCCGTTCTCTCTCTTTTTTTTTTTTTTTGGCTAAATCTAGACCAAATTGGGTTTCTGTCACTGGCAACCCGGAGTTTGGGAGAAAGGCTAAACATATGCAGTCAAGGTTCAAGTTCTTTCTTTAATATCCCATGATGAATCACCTTCTCCCTGAATCTTAGAGTTTTTAGGGTTCCACTTCAAATGAAAGAATACTAAAATACCCACCACCCCCAAGAGAAATTAAAAAAATTCTTCGCACCAGAAAACCCATCAGGGCTCATCTGTCAAGCAAGACCTAGGAGAAAAAGAGCACAGAAAAGAGGAAACAGCAAATGGGTAACTGGAGGGGGCACTGCCCTCCATACAGCTATGCAACCAGTACTGGTAAGAACAATTATCTCCATAGTAGCACAGCATAATGAAAAAGCTTCCAAAATTGTTCTTAAAGTATATTCTAATTCCCTATCAACATTAAAAAAAAAACCCACAACCTATACACACAACGCAGAGTACCCAAACTAAAGGAACTCTAGGTAAACAAACTATTTACAGACTTAGGAGCCTAATTGTTCCTGCTATTTTGGGGCAACAGTTTAGTTTTCCTTTTACAGCTGTCCTGGGATCTATGCCACAGGCCTGTTTACTGAAGGAAATCCTGAGTATCAATTTTTTTTTTTTTTGAGACAGAGCCTCAAGCTGTCCTCCTGGGTAGAGTGCCATGGCATCACAGCTCACAGCAACCTCCAACTCCAGGGCTCAAGCGAGTCTCCTACCTCAGCCTCCGCTACAACACTCGGCTATTTTTTTTTTTTTTTGGTTGCAGCCATCATTGTTTGGCGGGCCCGGGCTGGAATCGAACCCTCCACCTTAGGTGTATGTAGCTGGCGCCAAGCCCTGAGTATCAAATTCTATGGAGCAGGTTAAGAAAAATCTCCTTCAGTAGGGGCCTAAAGTAATTAAAGGGTAGAGAGTAATCCAACAAATGGTATTCTAATGATGTTCTTCCATCAACAATGGGGAAAAGATAATACTAGAACATAAACCAGGCGTCCTCAAACTGCGGCCCACCTAGGACATTTATCCAGCCCGCCGGGTGTTTTTGCTGCCACTGCCTGTCCTGCTTAGCAGCTGACTCGTCCTGGGGCCCGCAGTCTGGCCCTCCAACGGTCTGAGGGACAGTGAACTGGTCCCCTGTTTAAAAAGTTTGAGGACCCCTGACATAAACAATGTGAACAGCTAAACATTTAGAATACCAATCCTCAACCTGAGGGCTACAGACTCCTGAGAATCTGATGAAACCTAGGAAGTCTTCCCCAGACAAAATGCATATACCACATATAGTATTGCATATAACTTCAAGGGGTTCATTAAAGTTGCTCTCCACATCCAGTCTCCAGGTTAAATACTCCTGACTTATATATTTTTTTTATTGAGACAGAGTCTCACTTTCACTCACGGAGGAGTACCATGGCATCATGGCTTACAGCAACCTCAAACTCTTGGACTCAAGTGATTCTCTTGCCTCAGCCCCCCAAGTAGCTGGAACTACAAGTGGCTGCCACAGTGTCTGGCTATTTTTAGAGACAAGGTCTCACTCTGGTTCAGGCTGGTCTCGAACCTATGAGCTCAAGCGATCTACCCACCTCAGCCTCCCAGAGTACTAGTATGACAGGAGTGAGCCAACACTCCTGGCCTCTGACTTAGAATTTTTTTTTAAATAGCATTACATGAGCATCATGATAAATCCCCAAGAAATTCAAAGGACTAATAACAGCATGTAGGAAAATTCTAAAACTTCCAACTCTAAAATCCCATGCTAGATCAAGAATGAACAAAAAAGAAATAAAAATTTACCGTCACTTTGTGCATTTATGGAGTATAAGAAAACTTGGTTTTTTGTAACTTAGCTCCATTTATGACATCTCCCTTACCTTGTTTGACCATTTGTATGCTTGAAGGAGTTGACTATAGAGAGGAGTTTTGTCCTGCACAGGATCCAGGCTTAACAGACCACTGTTATGAAGCGGATGGTTCTCAGATGGCTTGCCTACCAAATTGCTCAGACGTTCCAGCTCACTGAAAAGTAAATAGATAAAGCAAATAAACCTGAGTCCACTTAACCTTCATTGTGAAACCAGCCACCATGGTCAGAGTGCTCTTCAAACTATCCTTCAGAAGTCCCTTAAGAAGTAACACTTTTTGAAAGGTAAAAAAAATGAGAGACATTAAAACACAAACACACACTCCTAACGGGGATCTTAATTTAAAACTGACTTTCCTACTGCCACTGCAAAGGAGAAAAAAAGGTAGGGGCACTACATTCAATAAGACTCCTAAAATCAGAATTTTACAACTCATTAGGTCAGGTGGGAAGACCTTTCTGGAATTTTGAAGTGTAGTATTACGCTACTCTTGCTATGGATTTTCAGACCCATGTACAGATCATTAAGTTTAGTAGAACAGCAAGTACCTGAATAAACGATGATTATTTATCATTCACATAGGGATAGATTTGTACATGATGCTTCACAGATGGTAAAACTTAACAAAACAAAGAGATAAAATAAACAAATAGAATGGGAAGACACAACCGAGGGGGCTGTGTCAAACAAACACATTTCAGTCTGCAGGAAAACCCTGGAGAAGCTTGGGAAAGTGAGCCAACAACAACACATTCCAGGAGCACATTCGGAGGGGCCAGTCCCAAACTGCCAACAAAAGGCTCTCTCAAACAGCTTCTCGTGCCACATCCATTTTGGAATCTTCAGCCACCTCTTCTTGCCACTTCTGTACAAAGCTTTAAGAAGGAAAGGAATAACATCAAGATTCTTACAGTTTCTAAAATAGCGAACGGTTGTAACATCTTGAACGTTACAAAGGGAAGCAAGTTAGAAAATGGAAATGGAAACTAGGAAAGAACCACCAGTGCATTTCCTCAAACAGGGAAAGTATTAACCGGTGCTTTGTGCTGTGCCAGAGAACAGCAAGTGGATGTGGGAGTTGAGGGGTGTGTAATTTATGGCAACTACTTAGGGGGAAAACAAAAAGGCACCCATGATTTGGCCACCACCTCCTCCTCCATCCTGCCTCCTCTTTCCATCTGGTTACTAAAGAGACCAAGTTAAAAAAATAAAATAAAATCCCACAAGTCCAGAAATCACAGGATGATTAACTCACCAAATGCCTTCCTCTACTAAGGTCAGTTTTGAGAAGTAAAAGGCAAACGTCCTGAAATCCTAAACTTTCATGGGAAGGAATGACTCTCTTAGGAAGGGAAGGCAAGTTCAGGACCTCACGCTAAACAATCAAGAAGTGTCTACCATGTGTCTGGCATTTTACAAGCGTCCTCTCAATTCTCACACTTATAAGGTATAAGTAAAGAAGAGGACCTAAGAAAGAGAAGGAAATGTACAGTCCTTAACTCTAAAGGACCTGCAAGTTGAGAATGGGGGTGGCAGTTAAGCATAAGTGATTAAACTGGTTAAGAAATTAGACATTAAGTCTCTGTTGGGGAAGGAACTGAACAGCTGTGAGGTGGGGAGTCAGGATATGGATCAGGTGGCTTTGAAGAGGGTAGGGGAAGGGGGAAAAATAGATCAAGACCTATTTTGTCGTGTTTGGGGGTAGATGGCGGTGGAAGTCCAGGTTAAGAGGCTATGTATGCCGCTAATCCAATCGGTGCACGTATTTTTGGGTTTGGGGCAGGGCTGATAAGCTCCTGTTTGGACTATCAGCGCCTCCTGATCAGATATGATGGGGCACAGAGTGCCTACAGGTGAGGAACCTGCCAAGCTCAGAGGAGCAGTGGAAGTTTATGGGAAGAGCCTCCCAGTCAAGAATGGGACGACCACAGAAAGGGTAGAGGACGGAGGGAGACAGCTCGGACTAGGAGGCCAAGAGAAGGGAGACAGGGGATGGGAGGATGAGGGGATGGGAACAGGGAAGAGGTGTCCCTGGGGGGCAGGTAGAGGACTGGAGAGGACGGGGAACAAGGGAAATGGAGAAGAGCTCCCGACTCGAGCGGGGTCGGCGCAGGGTCGGTCACCGACCCCGGCCCTTTCAGCCGGTACCTACTTGAGGTCCCGGTTGACCGAATGCAAGTTGTCCTGGAAGTGCGCAATAAAGGCCTTCTCTCGGCCCTCCAGCGTCTCCTTGTTCCGCATGCCATCCTTCAGGCAGTCGAACACCCTGCTCACGCTGGAGCGCAGCGCCTGGATGGCACTGATGGCCTGGGCAAAGGCCTCCAGGTTCACCCCGACGCTTAGCACGTCCGCCATATTGCCGCCGCCACAGCGAGCTCTCCACAGCCGGCTTCCCGAGCAAAAGCCGCGCGCTCTGATGACGTGTGCTCCGAAGGCCTCTGGGAATTGTAGTTCGCACGGGACGGGGCGGCCAGGTGGCTTGGGTGGGCACGTCTCAAGAAGGGCTTCCACTTTAACCCAGCGAGTGGAGAGGAAAGTGACTGTCTCGATTTGGGGAAGTTAGGCGCTCTTAGTTCTGTTAATGGCGACAAGGAAATACAGAAAGTTCCCACATTTCCCCAAACTTGCACTTTTGGGAGTCATATGGAAAAGAATTGCTCAGAGCGATAAAAGTGCATTCACAGAGTAAAAGATTGTAACCCATTGGATATTGCATCCTTGTTCATAAATTGGGGAGAAGGGAAAGTTCTTCCCTGCAGTAGAATCCCAACTGATAGATGTAGAAGGAATGATGGAATTAGAACACTGCCATTTGGCAACCATTAGAATAATTGATTCAGGTAGGAAATCAATGAATGCTACTAGTGTGTGAAAGTGTGAGAATAACAGGATATTTATGTAGTCTCAAAGTATCGTCCCCCAAGATGCGTATTAATTAAGAAGAGAAAAATAATGATCCAGCAATTCCACTTCTGGGCACATACCCAAAAGAAGTAAAAGCAGGGACTCAACGAGATTTTTGCACTGGTGTTCATAACATCCTTATTCACCAAATAGCCTAAAGGTAAGAGCAACTCAAGTGTCTATCAAGTGATGGATAGATAAGCCAAATGTGATATATACATACAATAGAATCTCAGCCTTAAGAAGGAGGGGAATTATGACATATCTACAGCATCAATTAACCTTAAAGACATTACACAAAATGAAATAAGCCAATCACCAAAAGGCAAATATCGCATGACTCTATTTACATAAGGTACTTAGAGTAGTCAGAATCTTAGAGACATAAAGTAGAACGGTGGCTGCCAGGGGCTGATTTTCAGTGAAGTCCACACCTCTTAAGAGAACAACTTAGAAGCATAGGAGGAAGAGAAGGTTTGGGATTTAAATAAAACCAACAAAATGTTGGACAAGTCTGGCTTAACAGAAGCTTGAGACATCTTTGTCTCTATATCCCTGTCCACCATGGGCAGGTTTCTGAAGCCTTGTTATCTTCATTATACAAGGGAACCTGCCCACGTCCTCATTGTTTTTCCTTGGAGGAGCTAGGTGTGCTTAGCTTGGAGCAAAGAAGACAGGTCGTGGCGGTGACCTTCAATTAACCTAACATCAACCTGGGAGAAGAGTCTTTCTGGGTTATCTAGTGGAAAGAACAAAACCAGTTGTAAACAAGCTGTAGGGAGGAAAATTTTAGCCCAATATTACAAAGGACTTCACTGAGTACAGACTTGGAAAAATTTTGTGGATGGGTGGCGGTGATGATTATGCAACAAGGTGAAAATACTTAGTGCCACAAAACTGAACACTTAAAATGGTAAATTTTATGTTACATATATTTTACCACAATTTTTTAAAAATTACGTAATGTATATACAAGGGAAAGTGGACAATAACTTAACACATTGCGGACTGGTCACAGGTTAGCCAGTAATATGGATAATTTCTGCATAAAATTGAGGGTCGACAATGTGTTAACTAACACAGCAGATGTTCCCCGATTCATTTCTCCCAGTCTCAATGCCCAGTTGTCCCAAACTCAGAATTTCATTCTTTTCCCCTTCTCATCTCTCAGCTGCTTATAATATAGAATCGCTTAGTGCCTCTAACATTCGAACACATTGTTGACCAGCAATTTTACACAGAAACTTCTCATGTTACTGGATAACTCGTGACCAGTTAGCAACCTGGTGGATACCAGTTTAACCAGGAAATTAAGGTAAGCATCACCAGCAATGGGACACATCTGTGCCTCCTGACACGCTCCACGAGAGAGAGCACAACATGACTTCCGTGATAGGCCTGCCAAAAATACATCACCTGAATCTAATCAGGACATCACTCAGACTCAGACTGAAAGACATTGACAAAATAACTGCCTTATACTTTTAAAAATGTCTGTGTCATGAAAGACAAAAAAGGCTGAGAATCTGTTCCAGACTAAAGAAGATGATAAGAGATGTGACATCCGAATGCGGTGTGTGATCTGAGATTGTCATTTGCTGACTTGATTGGGGCAATTGGTGAAATGTGAGTGAAGTCTTTGGATTAGTTCACAGTATTTTGTCAGTGATAATTTTGTGATTTTGTGCATTGTGGTTATGGAAGAGGGTATCCTTGTTTCGGAGAAATATACCTCAAAGGATGAAAGAGCATTGTAATCTCTTTATGAAAAAAATAATATGAGTATATTTATTTAGAGAGAAAAGAATAAAACAAATGTGGCAAAGTATTAACAATCATGGCATCTTGGTGAATGGTATATAGGAATTCTTTGTACTATTCTTGCAACTTTAAGTATGCCATTATTTCAAAAGAAATTGTTTTAAATGATCATCTGTAAGGGGTAGGAAAAATATAAACATAATTTATATGATAAGAAAAAAATCTTCAGTAATATCAGGCTTCGCTGGTGAGGATTTTTTTTTTTTTTTGGTAGAGTGCTATGTCATCATAGCTCACAGCAACCTCAAACTCTTGGGCTCAAGCAATCCCCTTGCCTCAGCCTCTCAAGTAGCTGGGACTCCAGGTGCCCACCACAACAGCCCGCTAGTTTTTCTATATTTAGTAAATATAGGTTCTTGCTTTTGCTCAGGCTGGTCTCGAACTCCTGAGCTCAAGTGATCCACTTGCCTTGGCCTCACAGAGTGCCAGGATTACAGTGAGGCCACCACACCCAGCCCCACTGATGAGGATTTTGAAATTGTGTAGTTCACCTCAGTCCCACTTCCTTAATAATTCCCCACTTCCTCCCAATCCTGTAGTTCTGCAAATGTAAAGATAAATTCTGCCCAAAATCTGGGCCCCATGAAAAATTACCTATGGGGTACACTACTCTGGTGATGGGTACAACAAAAGCTCAGACCCTCCACTATACAATACTGTACTGTACAAT